CCATTTCATGTATTCACAACTATGTATACACTTATACTTATTATCTTGTAAACAATTGGCAAATCAAATAAATAAATAAATAAATAAATAAATAAATTTCAATCTACTATTACATTTTAGTATTGCCATAGCATGTTTTAGTCTAGCAATCCAACTATTTGGTTCTTCTCTTCTACCTAAGTTAACTTAAGACAGACAAAGTGGCTGAAAAATTGGTTCTCTGACAGCCAGCAAGGAATAGCCTAGTATCCAACGTAAGAGTTACAAAAATAAAAGCCAACTCACTCAAAAGAAGGGGCCTAGCTTAGTAAAAAGGAAAAGCCAGCCCACGGGGGCTAGGATACTGTTTCAACACATAGAGCTTCTTAAATTACAACACTTGCTGAAATTCTTTGCTTGAGGCTCTCAAGTTTCTCAAGTTTCTTCATTAAATATTACTTATCTGCAATTGTGAGCTTGCCAAAATGCTTTATTCCTGCCCACAGGATAAAGTTTGACATGGCCTTCACACGGTTTAACTTCAAGTCCTTGTGGAAAGAAGATTCAGGAGGCGCACTGGAGTAAAGTAAATTTGCATTTGAGGCCAGATAAACAGGTGGACCACAGTGGAGATGCCAGCTAAGTGCTTTAATGAGCCAGTCACACCTACTTCTCCTTTTTTCAGAACTGTTAATATATTGTTTCAAAATTCAAAAATTAAACTAATCTTCTAATAAATTACTCACCTCTCTTGACAAGTAGTTGCTTCAAAGAACTAATCTGTAAAATACTGCATTTTCCCCTTTCTCTTTCAAGAAGAAATTACAGAAAAGGGAGAAAAAGAGGGAAGAGGTTAAAGAGAACTGTACAGAAGAGCAAAACTGTTGGATCCATCATTCTCCTTCACTAAATTATTTCTTCATGATGCCAAGTAGAGGGGGAGATCATCTTGTCTCCTACTTTCCAACTCATTCTGCTGCTATTCTACACATAAAAAGTTTAAGAGTGCGATTTATTTATCTGTTAAATTTAGAGACCACCAATCTCACTAGCAAAGTGCCTCTGGGCAGTATACAAGGAATAAGCAAAATTCACTCTTTTTAGAAACTATCTGATATTATATTGTTTTTCAATCATTCTGGAAAGTTAGATATTAAATAACAAACACAGACAAATGATAGAGATTCTATTGTTCATGTCACACTCCATCACCCATCCCTTGCATTTGTCTTCTTCTTACTCTATTAGGCTAGCTAACTGTTTTGATATTTGCTGATGTTTAATAAACGCCAAGTCATATTTTTGCTAACTATTTTGAGTGGCATATGTGCTTGCTTTGATCTTGATTTGACCTGACTGTTGAGACTGATTGGGAATGTCCCAGGTACAAACTCGATCTGAAAATTATACACACTAATTTTCCAACAAAAGCTTCACTTATGTTTTACAAAAAAAAAAAAAAGATTCAGGTTTACTAGCCAAATATTGTTATCTGCATCAAAAGCATCTGTACTTTTTGGGGCAGCAATGCAATCATTTATATTTCCTGTTTATTCCTTGGTTTTCAATACTTTTAAATGCAGAATGAGCCTTTGTCCCAACCAATGCAGGGATTATTAGAGGCAAAAAAAAAAAGGTCCTTAATATTGGGTGATGGTGGTAATGTGGCAAATCTCCGCTGTAGGATTTACAAAATATATAGAAATGTTATCTCCATGGGATCTGATGGTGTCTCCCTACCACTGGTAGAATACCACTGGTGGTGGTATTCTACCGGTTCGGCCTGGCTCAGCCAAACCGGTAGCTCCAACGATCCTCTGTGAGCGAACTGCTTCGCTCCGACGATCAGCTGCTGGGCCATTGCACCCACCCTGGCTCTATTCTGACCTTTATTTCCTGCTTTTCAACCTCAGTTGCTTCATGAAGCATAGTGGATTGCCGCGCATCAGCTGTTGAAGGAAAGTGCAGGATTGTAGGAGACAGTTAGTAGGAAATCCCCTGCACACGCGCAAAGGCATGTGTGCACACAAAGCGTGCCCACCAAGCCACGCCCACAGAACCAGTGGTAAACAAATTCAAAACCCACCACTGACTGGCAAGATATGAAGGCTAGGCAGAAGTTCTGTGAACCCTCTGGTGCTTCGTTTGTGGTATACTATGGAGCAAACCTAAAGATTATCATATCTAACTTAAAATCATGCACGCACACCACACACACACACACACACACACACACACACACACACACATTATACACATGCATCTTCCTAGATTGCTTCTATCCACAGATGAGAGAGAATTTTGTAAGTGAGTATTCCTTTGGTCCTTTAATGCTTTAAAACTTTGGTTAACCAGGAAAACATATTATAAACATTAATCAAGATTTTGGAAATCTGAGCCATGACCAAATATAATGCAAACTGTGTGGAGAAGGGCAGCTGAATTCCTGGTGTGTAGCAATCCACTTGTAAAGAAGGGGAGGGAGAAAAAAAAGCATTGCCTGCAGCTAGAATGAGGTTGATTGATTTTGTAGCTCATTGTATAAACTCAGAAACTTTCAAAGTCCTCAGTCATGGGCAAGGCACTAATTCAATCTTCATCTCTAATTCATCTCTAATTTTGGCCTAAGGGTGAAGAGAAATTAGCTGTAGGAAAATCTGAAATATCATAATTTCATAACATCTACAAGTAATTATCCTTTTCAAGTATCTCTCCTAAAATCCAGACAGTACCATTTCTTCCTGTTCAAACTAAATACTTTGACAAGCCGTATATTTATTTCATGAGTGATTTGTAGTGAAAATAGTCATGTTGCATTAGCGCCAGTCACAATATGGAACCTTACGTCGCCCACAGCAGGAATCCCCAACCCCAAGGCCGCAGCCCACTCCCAGGCCTTGAGCCATTCAGAACCGGGCCACAGAAATGGCAAGCACATGTGTGTGTACAACCCCCACTTGCACAAGCAGCAGGCAAGCACGTGCATGCACATGTCCACTTCTCATGCAGATAGAGCTGCGCATGCACTCTGATCCGCTGGTCCCCTCCGCCCCCACCCCGGCCAGTCTGCAAAGCCAGAAAGGTTGGGGAACTCTGGCCTACAGAGTTAAAATCCTGGGAATGATTTGAAAGAACACGCTATACATCCCAACATTTACTGTCTAATATTTTTTTAATATACAAATATTGCCATGACTTTGTACCAAAGCAAACTTCAGAATTAAATCACACAACTGGAACTGGTAAATGTGTTTTTAACAGTTTTGTTATCACTCTCAGGTTTTTGTCTACATTATGCATATGCTCTACGTGTTTATGATCTATGCTTACTGTTTTAAAACAACCACAGACATACACAGAAGAGTGATGGAAGAAAAGAGCAAATGAAACCCCTTGTTCTTTAAAATCAGGATATGAAGACTTTGCTATTCCTTGATTTATTGTAGAATTGCAGAAAGTTCTCACTAGAGGAGAGTATCTAACCCCAAAACTTAAACAAACATTATAAGTATAAAGACAATGCATCTATTTTCCCTGAACTTTAGAATGGTTAAATAAGAATGTTAACAAAACTCCTAAAACTTTGTGCTGTAGCCATCTGAACTTTCTCAGATCCCGAGACAGCTTAAAAGTAACCAAATATAAAATGTTGATCATCTTATAAATAATACAAGCAAACATGATAAATGGGTGATGAGTACAATTCTAACCATGCTGAGGTGATTTGAACACACTTCAAAAGCACAGACTTTCAGGACAGACGTGTTGAAAACATGTCTTCAAATAGCAGTCTTGATTCAATGATGTCTTCAATTAAGAGGGAAATTCAAGTACTAATGTTTCCTTGTATTTATACAAGAAAAAAATTGTGTTAGGTACACAGATTATAAATGAATAATCCATGCCTCAGTCAATTATCGGATTTTCTTTGATTAGTGACCACATGTCCTATTCCCAGGATTCTTCATAAGCTAAAGGATGTCAGTGAGTACATTCCCTCTGTACTCTGTACTTACCCGAGTTGGCTGAGAGGGCTGAGATTTCTGGATGTTGTATTCCAAACAATTTTGAAGAAGAGTACAAGCTTTCTCCAAGATTGTATTACACTGACAAGTGAAAAGGGTTTGATTAGTCTAAACTATTTGCACTGTTGAGGACCATATGCCACAGCCAGCCATTTCAGATGAACTATGAACAAAGTAGAGCCCAACCCTGGAGAACCATTTTTTCAAAGTCCAACTGACTGCCAGCAAAAATAATATTATAGATATGCCGTTGGAAGAAGAATGGAAAATAAGTTGTCCCAAAGGTGCTTTTTCAAAAGGCAACTGGACTTTCTTGTGTTTCTTTGAAGATGTTTTGCTTCTCGTTCAAGAAGCTTCTTCAGCTCCGACTGGTTGGTAGGGAATGGAATATTCCTTGCAGACAGTTGGTCATTTGCATTCTGCAAGGGAATATTTGCATTCTGCAAGGGAATATTTGCATTCTGCAAGGGAATATTTGCATTCTGCAAGGGAATATTCCTTGCAGACAGTTGGTCATTTGCATTCTTTTAGAGAGTCTTTGAGATCACTTGGAGGTTTATCTGTATTCTCAGGGTCGTTGGGGTAGTGCAAATGGGTGTGGGGCCTTCTTGGTACTGCTGAAAGGACTGTGTTGTAGACTAGATGATGTCATGTTCCTCCCCGGGATAGGCTGCTGAATCTTGTCCTGATGGGTTGGTTCTCCTATGTTTTGCCATGTGTTTATGAAGTGGTTGTTTTGTTTCACCAATGTACGGATCTGCCCATGGAGCTCACTGCATTGTACTGCATATACCACATTGCTTAGCTTGTGTCTGGAGGGATAAGCTTCTGCCTTAGTGTATTCTTGAGTTTAAAATGTATACATATATTGTGTTGGCTGGAGATCCTCTTGAGCTTTTCAGATATTCCTGCAACGTATGGAATGGCATTGCTTCGTTTATTGCTCTTGACTGTTATTGAGGAGCTCCTGTTGGATTTTTTTTTTGGATTTGATGAAGGCTCACTTAGGATAGCCACACGTTCTGAAAGCTTCATTGGTGTGTTTTAGTTCTTTTTTTTTTTTTTAATTCTCATCATCCACTGGAGCACAAAATGGGAGTTATCAGAACTCTGTACTACTGAGTTGAAGACCTGACTACCAGCAAAGATGGGAAAGAAAAAGAACTAAAACGCAAAAAGAAGAAGCTTGTACACCCCAAGGATAAAACACCCGGGATACAAACTGAGCAACGTGGACAGTAAATACCCAACCACAACTTTTAGCCTAGTTTAGTGAACAAGTAGTTCACTAAAAAAAAAACCACCATATTTTAAATTGTCCAATCAATGAATGTATATTAATTCCTACCTACAAAGGCTTGCATCTAAACCTCAAATTCTGTTTGGGATAACCACATGAAAATAGTAAAAGGGGGTTCTTTTTATTTATTTTTATTCTTATTACTATTATTATTTGTACAGGTGGTCTTCTATTTACAATTTGTTTAGTGACCAGTTAAAAGTTACAACAGCACTGAAAAAAAGTGACTTATAAAGTGTCCTCACGCTTACAACCGTTGCAGCTTCCCCTTGGTCACATGATCAAAATTCAGGCCCTTGGCAGCCAGTATGTATTTACAACAGTTCCAGCATCTCGGGGTCATGTGATCCCATTCGTGGCCTTCCCAGCCAGCTTCCAGCAAGCAAAGTCAGTGAGGCAAGACAGATTCCTTTACCACTGCCTCATTCACTTAGCAACTGCAGTGATTTGCTTAACCATGGCAAAAAAAAAAAAGGGTAGTAAAATTGGGCACATCTTACTTAGCAACCAACAGATGAAAATGTTTTAGGAATGGCAATTCTGGTCCCAGTTGTGGTCATAAGTCAAAAGCTGCCCATATGGCCAACCACGCACACAGTCTCTGGGAAATACAAAACAATCCAAGCGGTTAAAAACATACAAACTTACAAGCAGCTCCACATTCAAACCAATCAAACAATAACAAATGAAGTGAAATGAGAGGCCCTACGAAGATACCAACCCCAGGACTGTGACCAAAGAAAGGTCTTAATGGCTTTGGGGGACCATAGGAGAGAGAAAGCACTGTGTGGATTCTCTCCCATAAGATAGCAACATTTAATCGAAGGATCCTGGAACATATGACTTTGCTGGAATGTATTGGGCAGGCAGAAATAGTTGGAGATAGGTAGTACTCAGGTACCCAAGCCCTATGCCATGGAGGGCTTTATAGGTAATGACCAGCACTTTGAATTGTACCCAGAAGCTAACTGACCACACAGATGCTGGTCACACAGCAGTGGTGACACATAGGAATACAGGAACGCAGTCATTATTGTTCATGCTGCTGCATTTTGTATCAGCTGTATCAGACAGTCTTCAGGAGCAGGCAGGCCCATGTAGAGTACAGAGCAATAACCTAGTCTGTTTACTTAAGATTGTATCCTAACTACTCTTCCCAATTCAGCTAAGGACTTGGGGCAGAATCTGAAAACAGCTTTCCAAAGTGTAAAGTGTAAAGCAAGCAGAGACCAGTATGCCAGTATTTCATCAGATTTTTTCATTTTCAAGTCTTTGCGGATCTGCAACCTCTTTTAGCATCATAAACTAGCGTCATTCAGACCACCGAGTGTTTTGCCACAAAGGTTTACTTACTGACAAAGCTACACATCAATTGAGCGGTCCCTTCTTAACAAGATGCTAAATTGACTTGCATTATCATTCCTGGAAGAATCTCTGGGGCAATCTTTGTTGGTTTTTATTGCTTCATGTCAAATGTAGTGTTTTGCAGTTTATGCTAGTCAAGCACTGAGGTCTGGTTTGCCTACTGTAAACAAATCTCTCCACTCCATTTGATTACAAAGTAACTTGGGTCTCTAGTGTCCATCACCAACTACCTTCCTTCCTTCCTTCCTTCCTTCCGAGTAATCCACCAATCAGGAACCATGATGAAAATGGTCCAGAAAGAACACTAGGCATCACAATAGCCAAAGAGGACAAAGGGACTGAAATCTGAAAAGCTGGCTTCCTTTCTAACCAATTGACACCCAGGCATCAGTTAGGCTAAGCCTACAATTCGAAAGAGCCTTAAAAATCAATTCTGTCTACAAAATCCATTACTTCTCTTGTGCTAATCACCTTTCTCGAAGAAACTTTTCCTATTTAAATATGTCCATCCAAATACGGATAAGGCTCATCTGCTTTTATGCTGTCCATAAATGTTGAATGGTAAGATTTATACTAATAACAACATTTTGTCAAATTCCTATCACATATTTGATTAATTAATGGGAGTTTGGGGTGTTTTACAAAGTTGTTTTTTTTTTTAAAACACAAGGATGGTTCTTGAGCTCTGTTTTAAATCTTTTAGGGAATTGGTTGTCAAAAAAAAAAACACCACTATCTCAAGGCACGTTGAATAGAGTCAAAAGTATTTTGGAAACCCATAATATGGGGCAGCCACCCTGGTCTTGGCCATCTTTTCAGCAGCAGAACACGGACTCATAGGTAAATATGAACCTCCTTGTAATACAGTTGCACAAAAAGAGCTGCAGTGTTTACAAGTTTTCTCCGACTGGAAACCATCTCCACAAACTAGGCACGGAGTCTTCTGGGTTTGGTTCTGCAGACCTTTAAATAGAGAGCAAACAATAATTCCTCTCAATACTGAATCACATAGCTTAACCGTGTCCTACTTAATGTGTTTCTACAAAACAAAATGAAGCGGTAGTTTGTGTCGAGGGCATTTGGTCTCTTAAAGGAGATACATATGAAACTTTAACTATTAGAAGTTGAATTTCCAACAATTTCCCAGCTTTAGATCTTCTTCTTCTTCCTAGCGTATTCCCACAAGTGCAAGGTCCGCTTTTCCAGCGTTGGATGTTTCCCAGCTTAGATGTTACCTTTTTAATTAATTGTTCACCCTATAAGCATATATAGATAGTCCTCGATTTACAACAGTTCATTTGGTGTCCATTCAAAGTTACAATGCCACTGAGACAAGTGACTTATGAAAAGTGACTTTTTCACACTTATGGCGATTGTATCATCCTCATGGTCACATGATCAAAATTCAGCCGCTTAGCTACTGATTCATATTTTGGACAGTTGCCGTGTCCTGGGGTCATGGGATCACCTTTTGCAACCTTCTGACAAGCAAAGTCCATGGGGAATCCAGTTTCACTTAATCCACTGTGTTACTAACTTAACAACGGCAGGGCTTCACTTAACAACTGTGGCAAGAAAGATCGTAAAATGGGGCAAAATTTAGTTAACACGTGTCTCATGTAGCAACAGGAATTTGGGGCTTAATGGCGGTTGTAAATCAAATATGTCCTGTACATGTTTAATCAGTACCTGGTGTTACTCATGGTGAACAGGAAGCTATTCTTCCTTCATCCCCTCTTTGTTATTATTTTGACAGCCTATGGCAGTGATGGCGAACCTTTTCCTTGTGGTAGGCCGAAAGCGCACGCGCACGAGATAGCACACACGCGCATGTGTCGGCACCCACAATGCAAGGCACCCCGCCTCCGCTCATGTGCGTGCAACACCCCCCACCCCCTTACTTGCACTGCGCATGCACATGCCTCCCAGCTGATTTTCAGCCTCCCAGAGGCTTGGGGGAAGCCTCTGCAGCCTTGGGAGGCCGAAAAATGGGCCCGTTTCAGCACTTCCGGTATTTCCTTGTTAACAGTACACAAATATCTCCCTAGCATTATTTTATAGCAATTGTTTTTCATATCCAACCCAAGATTGTAAAAGATTGTGTTCAGTGTTTTGAGTTTGCCCAATCAAGGGGGGTGGGGGGGGAGAAGAGAAGAAAAAGGAGTTGATGTTCTGTATATATATCATTCCAAAAGTCTTACGTGCACCTCTAAGTACAACCCCCAATACTGTGTATGTTATTTAAACATGTGCAGTGGATTTATACTGAAGAGTATAACAGCAGAGAAAGTTCCCTTGGAAGAAATGCAAGAAATAAAGTAATGAGCAATTTATTGCCATGGTTATAATGGGCAGTGCAATTGGGTAATGCTATTTCACTGACACCTCCAAAACATCTCTAGTTAACAGGGAAAATGACATGGGTGAATCTACCCATATGGTACAGACTGGTGGCAGACTGCAAAATTTCACTGAGGAAATGTCATTTTTACAAATTCTCCCTTTCACATGTGTAAAATGACACTATTATCCTACATACTGAATACTGAATACTGAAGTTTGCTGATGACACAACAGTGATTGATCTCATTCGAGACAACGATGAATCTGCATACAGACAGGAGGTTATACAACTTGCCTCGTGGTATAACCGGAACAATCTGGAACTGAACACACTCAAAACCGTAGAAATGGTGGTAGACTTTAAGAGAAACCCTCCCATACTACCACCTCTTACAATACTAGACAACACAGTATCAACAGTAGAGACCTTCAAATTTCTAGGTTCTACTATATCACATGACCTAAAATGGACACCTAACATCAAAAACATCAAAAAAGCACAACAAAGAATGTTCTTTCTGTGCCAACTCAGAAAGCTCAAACTGCCCAAGGAGCTGCTGATACAGTTCTACAGAGGAATCATTGAGTCTATCATCTGCAGCTCTATAACTGTCTGGTTTGGTTCTGCAACCCAACAGGACAGACACAGACTTCAGAGGATAATTAGGACTGCAGAAAAAACAATTGCTACCAACTTGCCCTCCATGGAGGACCTGTATATTGCACGAGTCAAAAAGAGGGCTGTGAAAATATTTACAGACCCCTCACATCCCGGACATAAACTGTTTCAACTCCTTCCCTCAAAATGACGCTATAGAGCACTGCACACCAGAACAACTAGACACAAGAACAGCTTTTTCCTGAAAGCCATCACTCTGCTAAACAAATAATTCCCTCAACACTGTCCAACTATTTACAAAGTCTGCACTACTATTACTGTTAATCTTCTCATCACTCCTTATCACCCATCCCCTCCCACTTGTGATTGTAGGACTGTAACTTTGTTGCTTGTATCCTTACGATTTATATTGACTGTTTCCTAGTATTGATTGTTGATTGTAGCCTATGACCATCATTAAGTGTTGTATGTTATGATTCTTGATTCTTAACGAATGTATCTTTTATTTATGTATACTGAGAGTATTTACACCAAGACAAATTCCTTGTATGTCCAATCACACTTGGCCAATAAAGTATTCTATTCTATTCTATTCTGCATGAGGATGTAATCTCCTATTGCAAGTGTGCAAAATCAGGCTTCAATGGCTCGATTGTGAAGAAATTAGTCTGTAAATAAACTAGAAAGTGGGGATTATCCCAGTTGGCAATTCCCTTAAGAACCATTTCTCCATTAAGAGGAACGCTTCATCTTTATAAGAGGTTTCCTGAATTAGCTATGAATGTCCTTTATTCTAAAGAAAGAGGTCATAACAATATGTTACAATTCTTAAACAAAGCATATGCAATTTCTGGAGATTTTGGAGATTTTTGGAGATTAGATTTGGACCTTCTGAGATATATTTTTTTTAAGAAAAGAAACACCAAAGAGCTTCAAACAAATTGGGAATGCAAGGATGGAAAAGGAGGTTTCCCACCTTCACAGTCTGAAAGTGCAATCAAGGAGATAGTTGCTTCACAGCAGAAATTACATGATGGCTTCATGTTTCCTAGTGCAGATAGGAAAATTTAGAGAAGGGAAATGTGGCACAGAAGACACAGTGCTTAACCTCTGCCCCATAACAATATGTATCATGATGACATATGTGGTATCCTGATGATATGTATCCTGATGACATATGTGGACACAAACATGCAACTATTTTGGCAATACAGAAGTGGTTTACTAAGAGGCAGAACTGAAAAATTTATCAAATTATTTGAATGAAGTTGAAATAGATAAATTGTGTGTGTGAGAGTGAGTGTGTATATGTGTGTGTGTGTGTGTGTGTGTGTGTGTGTGTGTACACATACACATAATTTAACTATTTCAAGTTGTATACATTGTATACAGTATATATAAGTGTGTCTGTATTTATGTATGACTAGCTCAATACCTGCACTACAAAATTACGTGGTCAGGCTTAGTTTTTAGGGAGGAAAATAAGGGAAAAAAATTCTGCCTCTGCCTACTAGCATCTGTCAGTATTTGTCTGGTTAGTGTCCTGTCAGTGTGTGAGAGAGTTGAGGCCTGTTTGGAAACTGAAACAGTATTTGCTGTGTGAGCAAGGAGACAGCAAGGAGCCTGGGTGTGGCTTAGCTCAACTGTTCTGTACTAAAGCTGCTTGGTGCTATGAAACTAAAACTGAAATTGAAACTCCTCTCCTCTGCTTGTGTTTTGCATTTGGAGCAGATTTCTTTTCAGGTGGAGTGAGGGTGAGTAGAACTCCTTAGCATCAGAGCGTGTTAATAATAATATACAAAATACTAATGCTGCGATGATCATTTTGAAAAATTCTTTCTTAGTGAGCACCTAGAAGCCAAGAGGAACATATATGCCAAATTTCAAGTTTTAGGCTTTAAGCTTCTGGAGATTTTGTGATGATGCATGAGTGGTATTTCGCTTTTATATATATATATAGATTTACATATTTATTTTACCTGTATCTTTAGAGGGCTGAAGTAATGCCCAGTCTAATGAATTTGAATTTGGAAAGCTGGTAACTGCTTGATTTCCAGTCTGCTGTTTGGGTTCTTTAATTGCCTTGGTCTTTTTTGTATCAGGCCCGATTGCTGCTTCTTGGAGAATAGTTATGTGAGGGAAATCTATGATTTTGGTAGGCTTTTTGAGAATCGACTTTACTTTAGGGTTTTTCTCCGACTTTTTCTCCAGGGTCTTTGGCAGGGTGCAAGGAGTGCAATTTCCATGTTTTACTTTTATGTTTTGCTTTTCGTTGATAGGTGGAATTGAGTCCCCTTTGGTTTCATGATTAGTTGCAGGCTGCAGGACGTTCAACAGGGGTTCAGCAAAATTAAAGTTAGTGATGACCACATGCTTTTTCAGTTTCTTAAAACCAATTCCTTCCACAATGAGGTCTGTAGAATTAAATGGTGGCATATCCAACATGGGCTACAGAATAAAAAGAACAAAATCACTGTTTCATGGTTAGTTTTACAATTTTGTCTTATCAGAATAGATATTAGTTGAGAGATGCTCCTTCTCTAAGGTTGTGGATTGATTAAAAAATGGAAAAGGTCTGTTAGTTCTCATCTAAAAATAATTATGACACTTCCAGATATCTGTTGAATATCCAGTTTATCTTTCTGGTCTCATTTTTTCTTTTAGATTTTATTCTGTTTTTTTTTTTTTTTCATATATAACTCAAGGTGGCGAATATAGCAGCATTTGTTCCCTATTTTCCCCACAACAGCTCTGTGTGATGAGTTGGCTGAGAGAATTATTGGTCCAACATTATATCAAGCTGATTTTTCATGCCTGAGGTGGGACTAGAATTCAAAATCTCCTGCTTTCTAGGACAACACCTTAACAACCACTATACCAAACTGCCTTTTTTATTTCTAAATTTATTTCCGAAAAGGTACTCCAAAAATCTTGGAAAACATTTCCCTGGTGCTAGCTCCCAAAATCAGTCCCAGAGCCTGATGTTTTGATATAATCACAGCTATCATTCCTTGCCAAGATTATGTATTAATCTTTGGTTGTGCTGAATAATTAGTGAGTCAATGCCTTTTATACTGGTCCAAACATGCAAGGACCTAAACCTGTCTGCGGTCACCCCATGCAAAAGGGAAGCTTTCTCTCTCCTCACCACTTCTGCTTTGCAAAATCTTTCCACAACCGTGTTCAGTAGGAGCGTCAAAAAGGAGTAAGTTGATTATTTGGGGGAGGGGTTGCATTTACATTTCAGATGAGTTTTCAGAATGAATAATGGGGAGTGTTTTATTAAGGTGAATTAAAAACAAAAGGAGAGGTACCCACAATATATTTAATGGAGTGTATAGTTTAATAATTAAATTTTATAAAAGCTAGCATAATAGAATAGTTAGGGAGAGAACCGGGAATGGGAAAACCCAGGTTCTTGTCTTCCTTTAAACATGGGAACAATCTGAATGATTGTGAGCCAGCCACTTCCTCTTAGACCTAGCTGGCATCAAGGTTTGTGACAAGCTGACTGATGAATAGAGCCTCTTGTTATATCACGCTTTGATCACTTTGCTACAACTCAGCAAACAAGATGCAAAAACAAGTGGAACCCTAACCTCATGCAACGAGTATTAAGCATAGTGACAAAAAAATGTTTGATTGCATATTAGCAAGTCTAAAAAAAGACCAGCCATTATCATTAGAATCTATAAAAGACACCAAGGGAAATAAGCCAGCATAATGTCAAAATGCGTTCAAAGTTACTAAAATTTAATTTTGCAAGAGGAAAGGACATTCTCCTGGAAGTAGAATTTGACATTTCTCTATTGTTGTTGTTGTTGTTAATATCCTGAAACCATGCTTCTAATTTCTCTAACCATAATTAGATCTAGTTATAATCAAACTATTTTGTATACTACTAGGGAACAAAATGAAACACTTCTTACTTGTCTCCACAGAAGCTCAAAATTCCCAGTTTCACAATTTTTCTCAAGCTTCTTGTCAAGCACAACCTTGATTGTGTCTTCTTGCACTTTAGCACAAAGGTCCATTGTAATGGGAGTGGAAGGATGCATAGTTGGGCTACTATTGATTTCAATCAACCAAGGTTTGAAATCAGTGCCAAGAATGAAATCTGCTCCATAGAGTTCAAAGCTGCTCCTCCGTGCTTCCACTTGCTCCTGAGCCATCTTCATTATATATATTAGGATTTTTTTCATAGATGGATAGATGATGTTGCACCAAACATGGCCAAGGCCTCTCTTCTGCAAATACTCTTGGAATTTGCTACTGGACCACATGTTGTGATACGGCAACTGAGAACTACGATCTGTTGCATTTTTGTAATTTTTCTGGATGAAATTATTGCAAAGATGAACGGAGCTGTGTAAATTATAAGGACCAATTAGCCTTGTGTGGAGATTATACCAAGTATAAAATATGAACATAAACACCAGGGGGAAATTGTAAGGAAGATGCATTGAATTTACTTATATTTTTCTCTTATTTATTTATTTTTAAAGTATAAGTACTAACCAGAAGGGACTACCTGTAGTCCAGCATCATTTAAAAATTAAAGGGATCATCAGTATATTTAAATTATTCTGTGATCTAATGTAAAATTAAAGAATTACAAAATTTTTGCTCCTGATAAGGTTGTATCACCTGAACAATCTAGCATCTACACCAGGGGTGTCCAACCTTGGCA